TTGGGACACCATGAATATTAACTAAAATGTGCTTTTAACATACTTTCTCTGTATTAAAAAAGAAATATTTAGTTACCACTTGTAGTACAATTGAAACCATATTTCATACACTTTTAAATATACATAGAAAATACATAATCAAATAATCTTTAAAATATAAGATTAATATAAAATGAATACATACAAAATGAATTTATAATGTATTGCCCATATATTTTTATAGATTAAATAATTCATTTTAAATGCATTGTAATGATGTAAACAATCCCTTTATATGATAATTAACTACATGTTTATGGTGTCTTTAAATAGTACAATCGAGTACACTATGTCAATAATAACACATAGTTTATTATTTAAACTACTCATTTAATTTCCACATTAAAATATAGCACTTCAAGTACTTTATGCTAGAAGTATACTTACTGTTAAATTGTGAATTTTGGTACACATCTAAATAATCCAATCATGTGGTATTAGTGTGGGGGAAAAAACAGAGGATTCAGATGTGAGTTCAGCAAATAACAGTTTATTAGAGGAAGCAGAGAACAGCAGACAGAGATCAAGATCTTGGCTGCAAGAGAAATAGTCCACTGGTAGCGCGGTGACTGCAATGGGTACGAACAATCCAGGACCGGAACCAAGCAGAAATCCAAACGTAACGACAGCCAAAAGTCCAGGGCTGCATTCCAGGACAAGTCACCACAAAAACACCAACAATCTGACAACACAGAGTAAGAAGCAAGGCCATTAAATAGCAGAGCCCCAGCTGCCGCTGATCAGCTCATCAGCAGAGGTGCACACACACACACACACACACACAGAGAGAGAGAGAGAGATGGAGAGAGAGACAGCTAACCTGCAATTACAGTAGTAGCCTAAGCACAGTAACCTACAGGGGTTTACTTAAGTAATGCATTTCAACTGTATTTTTCATTAAAAAATCCAAATAGAACTTTGTGATAGTATTTGTGATAAATCCACTAAAATAGTATGCAAAGCGATTGTAGCACACTTTTAAACACTTCTGGTACTTTATCTGACTACACTTAACATCAATTTAAGTGTTAGTGCTAATTAGTGCATTTATATTAAGTGTACTTAAGTAGCACAGTTGGGAAAATGTACTTATAACTTTACATTACCAATATATTTTAAATAAAATCAATTTAATTTAAATTTAGTTTAACTATAAAAGTGTACTAACATTGAACTAATTTTTTAATAATTCAAAGCACAATTTTAAGAAATACACTAATAAAAGTCCTCTGTATATTTTTGCAGTAGTATACTTTATTTCAATGCACTAAAAATCAATTTAAATCTAGTTTAAATTGATTTTTTTCAATTAAGTGGTATTTTGTATACTTTTGCAATTGCACTGAAGTACTACTGAAGTAGAAATATACTTTTAATTAGTGTATTTGTTACGATCCTCTGCATCTTTGCTCTTGTGTGTTTGGCTTTGTGTACGTGAGTGTGTCTGCAGGGATTGGCAGTTCATCAAGGAACGTGATTGGTGGATCCTGAAGCGGATTACTTTAAAATGGCGGCGCTACCAAAATATGAAAAACAAACTAAAGTTCCTTTTGGCGTTTGCTGTCGTGGCGCGAGGAGCTCCGGATTCCACCTCCATCAACAGATCACCAAAGAAATGTTGTGGCTATTGTTTGCAGCTTTATGACCACATTTTGTTTGCTGTTAATTTATTCATACTGCATATATAATAACAAATTTATCGGAGCATAGGTGTGGCCTGCCATTTACTTTAATCTATGTTTGTGATTTGTTTTTGTTTAGGGAGTTAGGGAAGTTTCATTTGTAATTTTACTTAACTCATTTTGTTAATTTTTAACAAATGTCCACTTGAGGAGAGCTGAACCCAAGCGCAGTTTATTAATAAACATAAACAGAACAAACCAAAATGTGACAAAACAGAAAAAAGACTAACTGAACTAGATCTTGACATGACCAAACTTGACTTGAAAACATGGGACTCACCAACAGCAGCGTTACACTGAACAAAGCTAGACAAGAGACAATTCAGCCAAAAAATACAGAGATTTGACTATATCGCCCAGCCCTAAGCTGAATGCAAAATTATGACCTAAATCACAAAAATAAATAATCTAAATAATGGCTGAAAAAGAAGAGTACTGTATGTGTTTTCCTGAATCCCGGAGCTAATTGAGATGCTGTGGCATAACCTAAACAGGGCTGCGCTAACCCAACCCCAACATTTTGATCAAATTAAACAGATTTGTGGGAAGGGATGGTTTAAAACTGGTCAAAAGTATTATAAACATATTATAAGCAGCTACAGAAAACATTTGGTGGAAGATCTACAACAAACTAAAGTTCAGTGGTCAGCTTACTTTCTCAACCTTGCACTGCAAATGATTACTTATTAAATGTGTCCAATAAAAATGTGAAAATAGTGTTTGTGTGTTATGTCAGATTGTGTTTGTCTATAAATGTGAGTAAATTAAGCTCAGAACACATTTTATGAGTAATCAATGCAAAACTCAGATATTATCTTGCCACTGTGTGAATATTCATGAGATCATGCCAATAAGCTTACAGATAGCAGCTGTTGAAGTGGAAAATTGGCCAATACTTGGAGTTTCTGTTTTCAGTGGGCTAAAACTCAATTAATGGGTTAAGCATATAATTATAAACTATATAAACTATAATTGGGACTAAGGTGGAAATGGGGATCCGGAAGACCACATTGGAGCCAGAGTGACCAAGTACAAAAGGTGGAGCCGGGGGGGATGGAGGGCCGAGACACAGGCTTTCCAAGCTTGATTAAAAAGGAAGGAGTACCAACTCGCATGCAGACCTTCACCAGCAGTACCAACTTAGCTTAGGAAAAAGTAAGAAGGAGCTTTTGTTATTTATATTGCTCCATTCCTGCACGTAAGTGCAAAATTTAGTTTTGATTTGAGTGGGTGGGCTAATTAACAAGGCGGCCACAGCTTTTTTCTCTGAAGTGTTGGGTGGTTGTGTATTTATTTGTTATTTGTCAGCTGACGCTGAAGCAACAGCGGAAGCATTCAGCCTCCTCGTGTGAAGACCTATGAGTGTAAAGAACTGCGATTTTTACCTGTGCGACTTTAACCGAGCAATGAAATCGGGCAACCCACTTAAGTACTCTATTTTTTCTCTTTGCACACTCCTTTCTCTCCTTTCCACATCTATCATGTGTTACCATTACATTCCGGTTGTCTCTCGACAACGCTCTAACATCACAGGCAGACGGCAATGCAATCTTGCTAACCTGCATCCTGTCTGTACATCTTCTACTGCACCTCTTGCTTTTTCTGTGGGTCTCTGGAATTGTCAGTCAGCTGTCAACAAAGCAGACTTCATTTCTGCTTTTTCTTTACAATCTACACTCAGCATCTTGGGCTTGACCGAGACCTGGAGTCGTCCAGAAGACTCAGCAACCCCAGTTGCTCTGTCTAACAACTTCTCTTTCTCTCACACCCCTCGTCAGGTTGGGAGGGGTGGGGGCACTGGTCTGCTCATTTCTAACAATTGGAAATACTCAACCCACTCTCCCCAATGCAATTATAACTCAGTTGAATATCATGCGATTAGAAGACTCAGCAACCCCAGTTGCTCTGTCTAACAACTTCTCTTTCTCTCACACCCCTCGTCAGGTTGGGAGGGGTGGGGGCACTGGTCTGCTCATTTCTAACAATTGGAAATACTCAACCCAGTCTCCCCAATGCAATTATAACTCAGTTGAATATCATGCGATTACTGTAACAACTCCTATAAAACTCCTGGTCAACTGGGCACCTTCCTAGAGGAGCTGGATGGGCTGCTGTCCTCATTCCCTGAGGATGGCAGTCCACTTTTAGTCTTTGGTGACTTCAACATTCATCTGGACATTCACTTCTAGCTTAATTTGATCTCAAACGCCTTACCACTACAAGCACGCACAAATCAGGCAACCAACTTGAATTTATTTACACACACAATTGTACTGCAGACAACATTTTGGTAAAACCCCTACACATCTCCATGACCACTTCTTCATAACATTTAACCTACATCTTGCTACCTGTGAGCCACCAACTGCTCTACCTGTTACTTTTATATGTAACCTACGCTCCCTTTCAACCTCCTATCTTTCCTCTGTAGTGTCCTCCTCTCTTCCCTTACCTACCCATTTCTCATCTCTGGATGTTAATGCAGCAACTGACACTTTATGCTCTATTTTAACTTCTTGTCTAGACAATATATGTCCTCTCTCCTCCAGGCCAGTGATCTTGAAAGTGCTTCGGAGGGCATTTACACCTGGTCTTTTCACGATTGGATAGCTATCCGATCAGAGAAAACACATGTAAACAGGCCCAGTCTAGTCCTGTTCTCCCTTTATGTGCTTAGTTACTGTAATTAGTTATACCTGTTTATCATTTAGTTGCCTGTGTTTGTCTTTTGAATATATAGCCCAGTGTTCTCAGTTGTGTTTGTCGGTTCTTGTCATTACATGGTGTGTTTAAACTTTATTATCTCCTTCAGTCACCTATGCGTTTTTCTTGATTATTGATAACTTCTGTATGTTACAATTATTTCTGTGTCTTTATTGTGTGTGCTGACTACATACAGCCCTGACACTGGCATGAAGTGTATCCTAAAGTTATGCTCAAGGAAGCCGTGTTCACAATAACCCCAGGAAAACATGGGCCCTCCATACATTATGAGAATTACCTCAAGAGTCCAGCATACATAAGTAACTGACATCAGAACATAAAAACAAAACAAGGACTAAAAACTGCGGTTTGGCAGAACACCAAACCAAACATCAGCATACACAGTCAAATGAAGGCATATAAGATACTGACATACAAGTGTCAGTGAATAAGGCAAAGATTAAAAGGAATGTGGAGGTATTCAAGGACCTTTATTTTGAAAAGGGTTTTTTTTCAAAAAGGGGAGGATGGAGTGTTCTGAAAAAAATAAGAAAATGAGCGAGACGAGCACGAGTGCGAGAAAGAAAAAGTTAGTTTTCTTGTGACTTCTTGGATTAGTTGTGAACAGCATTAGACAAGCGTCGAGGTGAGCTGCCGAGAAGCTGGACCGAGCTTGTGCTGTCGTGAGTTTTGACGGAGCCTGATTGGCGAGAAACTGAACTGCGTGTCTGATATACCAGGAGGGGCATTGCTCATCGTGCTAGCTGAGAAGGTGTGTAGGCACGAGTGTTCGTCTTCTCCGGAAGGGAGCTGAGATGTTAATCAACGCCATTATACTCTGGGTAGCTACCGTGTACGTTATTAAATTCCAGAGCCTCAATCCTCATCAGTCGCTGCTACTGAAGACAAAAGCATACTTAGCAAGGCAGATAAAAACATACTTAAATAAATAAGTACAGGAATTAAATGTACTAGGGGTTGAAGACCTAGATCTTGTCATTTTCCTAGTCATCCAAGATATATTGTAGCAGAAGTTAAACTCACCCTTACATTGTAGTGAAATTCCCCGCTACATTAATTTGGCGTCACGAACAGGATCATACTTAGCCTGATCTTTGCTGTTTGTAGTATTCTGTCCCAGGTCTGTGAGCAAGAAGAAAAATGGCAGAACTGGAAGAGCTGAAGAAGGAGTTCGCTGATATGCAGAGGAGGTTAGCAGAACAAGCTGGAGCCCTGGATCATGCCAGAATGGAACAGCGAGAAGCTCTGTCATTGGCAAGGGCTGTAATGGAGCAGCAAGCATCCACTCGTGCACCCCCAGCAACGATTTACATCCCAAGGGATCACAAACTCACTGACTTCACTGGTACCACCAAGCCTGGAGAAGGAGGTGTGGAAGAGTGGATTCTTTACATGAAATCAGCATTCCGTGTCATGAAAGTGCCAGATGAGGATCAAGTGGAGCTGATTAAACAGCACTTAAAGGGAGAAGCTAAAGATACCGTGAAGTTCATGCTGGAAGAAGGGGATAACAGTAAGGAGTCCATCTTCAAACTGCTACAGGAAACATATGGGGATAAGGTACCCATTGGCACAAGGTTAAAATACTGTTATGATAGAAAACAAGCACCCGGTGAGACCATACGTGTCTATGCTTATGACTTACGAGAGAAACTGTACAAGGTAAAACGCAGAGAGCCAAGCAGAGTATCAGATGAAGAGAGTGTTCTGAAAGAGCAGTTAGTCCTTGGACTAAGGGATGATTTCCTAAGAAGATAGATGAAACGGAGGATCAAGGAAGAGCGAAGCTTGACTTTTGCACAGCTGATGCAGGATGCCATCACATGGTCTGAGGAAGAGGAAGCACAGTCTGAAGGTAGCTTTAAGACCCCTGTGCGTGCAAGAGCTGCAGTTCACACTACAGTTGCGACTGGTGACAGTTCATCCTCACTTACGTTAGAAAAGTTGCACGAAGCAATAGAGAAGATAGCTGCACGTCAGGAAGAATTGTACAGAATAGTCCATAGTCAAGGGAGAGTTAACCCCCAGCCTGCTGGTACGAGAAGGCAGCCACTAAAAAACAGCGAAGGGAAATATATCTGTTACACATGTGGTGAACCAGGTCACACCAGTCGACATTGCGGACAGCACAAGGAGCTGAGTAATAGGGGTGCTGCAGCATCACAAATGGCGGAAATGACTGAGGCAGTAAGAGGAGCTTCGTCGAGTGACTTGGTAAGCACCAATGGGCCTTCAGTAATCCGGAGTCATAAAGCTGACTGGAAGGTTGATGTCGTGCCAGGAACTCTTAAGGAGAGCGCTTTTGGAGACTGTCTGACAATGGACGTTAAAATAGCAGGGGTGCCCACTAAGTGCCTGCTGGACACAGGTTCAGAGGTCACCACCATCTCAGAGCATTTCGGAGGGAAAGAGATTCAGCTGTTGTCCACTAACTGGGTGCGCCTCACTGCAAATGGTCTAGACATTCCTGTTCTTGGATGTCTATAGGCAAGTCTGCTTCCAGGAAAATTTGTTTTCGTGCTCACAGAGTCCAACCCCGATGCGCAGGAAATGAAGTGAAGTGAAGTGACATGTGGCCAAGTATGGTGACCCATACTCAGAATTAGTGCTCTGCATTTACCCATCCAAAGTGCACACACACAGCAGTGAACACACACAAACCGTGAACACACACCCGGAGCAGTGGGCAGCCATTTATACTGCGGCGCCCGGGGAGCAGTTGGGGGTTCGGTGCCTTGCTCAAGGGTACCTCAGTCATGGTATTGAAGGTGGGAGAGTCCATTCACCCCCCCCCCCTACAATCCCTGCCGGTACGAGACTCGAACCCACAACCTTTGGGTTATGAGTCCGACTCTCTAACCATTAGGCCACGACTTCCCCTTGGAAAGGATTGGATGGAATTGTGGGAATGAATGTCCTTAGTGAATTGAAGAACCTTGTACTGTCTGGAAAGGAGTTCAGCGAGGAAAGTAAAGTCAGCCGAGGCACAGATGCTCATGTAAGGACAGTGATAGCAAGAGTGAATAAAGATGAGGGACTCTTGGGCCCAGAGGGAAGGATAGGATTTGTTAAGGTGTCTGGGAAGCAAGTTGTGACAATCCCACCCTTAAGTGAGAAGATTGTGGAAGGCCACTGCAGTATACCTCAGCAAGTGAAGCGTCAAGTACTGGTGGAGTGCACAGATTCTGTTACCCTTCCTAAAGGACTGTTAGTAGCCAATGTGCTTGCGAGCCCAGAAAAAGGAAGAGTCCCAGTGCGAGTGTTAAATCTCTGTCAGGAGACTATCAGGTTGATGCCGAGATCCAGGATTGCAGTTGTGTCCAAGCCTCAGAAAGTAGTCCCAAAGCAAATGGTGGAATTTGAAGAGGATGAGGGCGAGTTATGCGTTAAGCGACATATGCAGTGCAGTGTTAAGATGGAGAATCAGCCCAAGCAACCTGTCAATTCCAGTGCAATTGAACCAGGAGGTGCAACGTGAGGAGTTAAATGCACTGCTGGCGCGTTACAGTGATGTTTTTTCCAAGAGCGACACAGATTTTGGATATACAACGACAGTGACGCATAGCATTCCTACAGGAGATGCACAGCCCATAACGCAATGCCACAGACGAGTCCCACCTCGCGTTTTCCAAGAGTTTAAAAGACTTGTGCAGGATCTTGTCATTCAAGGTATACTGAAGGAGAGTTGCAGTCCATGGGCCTCACCTGCTGTCATTGTGTTATTAAAAGATGGAGGTGTTCGTTTTTGCTGTGTCTACAGGAAACTCAATCTAGTCACATTTAAGAATGCCTACCCCCTTCCCCGTGTGGAGGAATCTTTGGATGCTTTGAGTAATGCATAGTTGTTTTCCACTCTGGATCTCACAGCAGGTTACTTCCAAGTGGCGGTAAATGAATCAGATCGGGAGAAAACCGCTGTCACAACACCATTCGGGTTGTATGAGTGGACACGGATGCCGTTTGGTTTATGCAACGCTCCGGCCACCTTTCAATGATTGATGGGTGCCGCATTAGGTGATCTGGCCTTTGACATTCTGTTGATCTATCTCGACGATATTATTGTGTTCTCTGTGGATTTCAAGAGTCATTGTGAGAAGTTGGAGCTTGTTTTCTCTAGGTTGCATCAGCATGGACTGAAGTTGAAACCGAGTAAATGTTTCCTCCTGAGGCCAGAGGTCTGGTTCTTGGGACACATAATTTCTTCTAAGGGTGTTCAGGTGGACAAGAACAAGGTTCAGTGCTTGAATGCATGGCCTTCACCGTCGAATGTGAGGGAGGTTAGACAGCTGTTGGGATTTATGAGTTACTATCGCCGGTTTGTTCCCAGATTCGCACAGCTGGCCAAGTCCCTACATGCCCTAGTGGGGAAAGGTAACAAAGACAAGTCATCAGAACCATTCGTCTGGAGAGAGGAGTGTCAGACTGCATTCAACAAACTAAAGAGTTGTCTCATTGTCACCTCCGATTCTTGCTTACCCTGATTTCCAATGTCCGTTCATACTTACGATGGATGGGAGTCTTAATGGACTTGGAGCAATACTCAGTCAAAAGCAGGGGGGCGTAGAACACGTAATTGCCTACGCGAGCAGAGGTCTAAAGGGATCTGAAAGGAATGACCGGAATTACACCGCATTCAAGTTGGAGTTACTAGCCCTTAAATGGGCAGTAACCGAGATATTTAAGGAGTACCTGATGTTTGCAAAATTTCAGGTTATTACCGATCACAACCCTCTCCGTTACTTGGAAACAGCCAACCTTGGGGCAGTAGAGCATCATTGGGCTGCACAGTTAGCAGAGTTCAACTTTGAGGTTTGTTACAAGCCCGGCAGACAGAACACTAATGCTGACATTCTTTCTAGGATTCCCTGGAGTATGGAACCCGAGGAGGATGACACAGAAAAAGACTTCATTCGGTTGACCTCAGACGAGGTACGGGCATGCCTGTGGCCAGGTAAAGAACAGGAGGTTACTGACACGTAGTTTCCGGGGTATGGAAACCCAGCAAAAGAAGTTAGCAAGACAGCTTGAACATCTGAAACTAAGGCATCAAGTGCTGTTCCGAGTGATTATGGATCCAAGAGATGGAGGGGAGATTTGGCAGTTGGTAGTGCCAGAGTCTTTACGGGAGAAAGTGTATGAGGGAGTGCACGAACAAGGAGGACATTTTGGAAGTAGGACTACATTAGAGCAGATGCGACGGAGTTATTATTGGCCCTCAATGGCTAATGACGTGCAGGCATGGGTAACTCAGTGTCGGAGGTGTACCTTAGCTAAGGATGTGTTCCCCAAGATTCATGCTCCTAAGACCTGCACCAATGTAACTGCACCTCTAGAAGTTCTTGCCATGGATTGCACTGTGCTTTAGAGATCAGCAGGAGGCTATGAGAATGTTCTAGTGCTTACGGACATGTTTACAAGATTTACAGTGGCAGTCCCGACTGAAAATCAGACAGCACTTACTACCGCCAAAGCTCTTGTACGACACTGGTTTGTCTGCTATGGATGTCCCGCCTGGCTGCACTCGGATCAAGGGAGGTGTTTTGAAGCAAGTGTAATCAAGGAACTCTGTAAGCTGTATGGAATCAGAAAGAGTCGCACCAGTCCTTACCACCCTCAAGGGAACGCACAGTGCAAACGATTCAACCGTACAATGCACGACATGTTGCAGATGTTACCTGCTGAAAAGAAAAAAGATTGGAAGACTTACTTGCCTGAACTGGTGATGGCTTACAATAGCCATGTTCATTCGTCAGTGGGTTACTCCCCGTTTTATCTCATGTTTGGGTGGGACGCAAGGCTGCCCATGGATGTCTTAGGAGGGAGGGATCTGACTGACGATGAAGCAGATGATTTGGATGAGTGGGTGAAGAGTCACCTTGAACAACTGAGGACTGCAGTGGAGACTGCAAAAGCAACCGCCCAAGAAGCTTCCAGGAGAAGAAAGAGAGTCTATGATCGCAAGGCTGCAGGAGCGCTCATTAGACCTGGTGACAGAGTATTGTTGCGTAACCACAAGTTTAGAGGACGAAACAAAATCCAAGATAAGTGGGAGTCCGTACCGTATTTGGTAGTGCAACAGAATCATGCAGGTTTACCAGTGTTTACTGTACGTCCTGAGCCAGGGGGTCCCACAAAAGTAGTTCACAGGGATCAGTTGAGACACTGTACCTTCCCTTCACTCAAAAGACAGGTTACACGTGCTGAAAGAGAAAAAGAGTTGTCAGAAACAGATGTTGATTCGCATGACATTGCTTACATTCCATATACCACTCAATTGCCAAACACATACTTACCTGGGGAAGTCGAGGGTGGAGTAGTTTGTGAGGATGTTAGTATTGCTGAGAGCGAGAGAGTAGAAACAGGACAAGATGGGGAATCTGATGTTTGTGACATTTCAAAAGCTGACACCAATGTGGAACCTAGTCTTAGACGTTCAAAAAGAAAAACACAAGGTAGATTGCCTGTAAGATATAAGGATGATTACATTATGTAATTTGGGGTTAAAATGTCTAAACAAATGTTGAATATGTTGTCAAGGAATCAAATGATAACTGTTCTTGTGTTTTCAGTTTTTTACTTAGGAGCTGGTCATCTTGGAGAGTCCTGTATATGGCAGGGTTTAGCAGGGGTGAATGTGGAGGTATTCAAGGACCTTTATTTTGAAAAGGTTTTTTTTAAAAAAAGGGGAGGACGGAGTGTTCTGAAAAAAAGAAGAAAATGAGCGAGACGAGCGCAAGCGCGAGAAAGAAAAAGTTAGTTTTCTTGTGACTTCTTGGATTAGTTGTGAACAGCATTAGACAAGCGTCGAGGTGAGCTGCCGAGAAGCTGGACCGAGCTTGTGCTGTCGTGAGTTTTGACGGAGCCTGATTGCCGAGAAACTGAACTGCGTGTCTGATATACCAGGTGGGACATTGCTCATCGTGCTAGCTGAGAAGGTGTGTAGGCACGAGTGTTCGTCTTCTCCGGAAGGGAGCCGAGATACTGTGAGTTTTTCTTCACTGCTGTTTAACCACAGTTGATATTCTGAAGAATTACACGGACGTTATTTGTTGTTTTTGAAGCAAAGCAGCTTGGATTGAGTGATTTTGCTACTGTTGTTCGAGACAAAATCCTTGTGTGTCGTTTTTGATACAATAGTACAATAGTGGACACAAACGGCATTGCGAACACATTGAAGCTCTTCTTTTGCAATATTTTTCCTTCTATTTTTCATAGTTTATTTTATGATGTTTTGCAGTATTTTCACTTTGAAATTCTTTTTGTATGGACTTGAGAACTGGTAACTGAGTTTACTTGATTGAATGAATCCGAATTACAGGTTTTTTTGAAGGGACTGTTTTCATCTACTGGAAACGTTCGTAGAAATATATATTTTCCCTTATTATTTATTCCTGAACTTTATTTTTCCTGTATTTAAAGAAAAGGAAGAGACTTTCTGTTTTTGAACAGGTGGCTATTTGTTTGATCTAATTACCCTGCCATATCTGAACACTCCAACACCAGCCCAGTTCTACTGTGAGGTAAAACTTTAACTCTGGGATTATGAATCTCAGGCATGTGAACTGACATGAAAGATATCTGATGTGGAATGAAACATCTGTAATGTACTTTTGAGTGAACTGAGTACCATTTGAGCATTCTATCAGAACTGTTGTTGTTTTTCTATTTTTGTTTATTTATTATTGTTGAAGAAAAGAAACCGAACAAAAGTTTGAATCTGAACAAAACTTTATTTTTGTACATTTCTTGGTGAAATCATAAGAAATCATAAGAGAAGTGAAACAGAGTTTATTTCTTGACTATTGTTTTCTTTCTTTTGTTTATTCTTTACTAAACATTTAGGAAATAAGTGTAAAACTTCTGTTATTTTGGAGAAGGGGCATTCCTACTGTCTTGTGGGCTGATAGAGGGGAAGAGGGGTTAATCAACACCATTGTACTCTGGGTAGCTACCATGTACGTTATTAAATTCCAGAGCCTCAATCCTCATCAGTCACTGCTACTGAAGACAAAAGCATACTTAGCAAGGCAGATAAAAACATACTTAAATAAATAAGTACAGGAATTAAATGTACTAGGGGTTGAAGACCTAGATCTTGTCATTTTCCTAGTCATCCAAGATATATTGTAGCAGAAGTTAAACTCACCCTTACATTGTAGTTAAATTCCCCGCTACAGGAATATAGGAGAAAAAAATCAAGTCAAAATAACAAGGACAAGTGTAATTTTAAGCAGAGACAATAGCATGTACTATTACAATTGTATTAAACTTATGGAAAAAAAGATCACTGGGCAAAGATACATTTATCTTACAAAGTTTACTTAAATTTATGTTAGAATATTTTTTTCTTTTTCTTCTATTTAAAAATGGTGCTTAATCCTGCTCTACCACTAATTCATTGTATTGTTTGTGTAGCTATTTTATATTTTTTAAACATTGGTAAAAAAAAGAGATGATTGCTAATTATTATAGTTGTAGGCCTAGAGGTCAGCACATTCATTTCAGATGTAACCTTTTTCAATTTGATGGGGGCAACAGCTTCTAATGTATTAGAGAAGATAGTGCCCATGTTGCTAGTCATTTCGTCTAGTACATGTGTATTTATGGGTACACAGAGCAGTTGAGATAAAACAGGCAGGTAATTTGTGAATCTGTCTTTGGCGGCTGGAACAATAGTTTTGCCCAGATGATAACGCAGAGCCATATAGTTAATATCAGTAATATGCAGCATGCACGATACAAGGAAACGGTCAGTAACATCATCACTTTGAGGTACGATATCTATATCAGTAAGATCAATTCCATGATCAGATTTTTTCTAGATCCTGCATTAAATTTATATTTTGACCTCACTATTCGGGGAACAGACAGTCTTTATTGACTCTACAGCGCAAGTACTTCTATCATTTAAGTGGGTAGAACAAAAGTCATCAGGGCAGTTATTTGAGATTTGACTTACATATGGTGCGTAGCGTCCTGGAGATGTTGTCCGACAAGAGTTCCGCTCCGACTCTACTGGGGTGCAGGCCATCAGCGCGAAACAGCCTAGGACGCTCCCAGAAAAGATTCCAATTATTAACAAAAAGCAGTTTATGTTCTTTACACCATGACAATAACCATTCATTTAAAGCAAAAAGTCTGCTGAACCTTTCGTGTCCTCGTCGATACGTGGGAAGCTGTCCTGACACGATGATCGTCGTCGCGGGCGATGTGCTGCGCACCATCTCGATCAGGCTCCTGAAGTCCCTCTTCAGTGTCTCTGTCTACCGCAGCTTGGTGTCATTAAGCCCCGCATGAAGCATGCATCTCGTCGCCCTTCAGGATCGCGGGTATCTGCGCAGAAACTTCGAGAACACGAGCACCAGGGAAACAGTGAGTGTGCACTTTACCTTCAGCTAATCTAGCACGGACGTGCCGGACGATGGAGTCTCCGACGATCACAGCGCCACGTTCCGTCTCGCGGAGGGGAGCGAAGCGGTTCCGGGTGGAGATCTCGAAGACCGGAGGCGGCGGAGGGAGAGAGGTTGTTGCCCGGGGCCTGGCTCGCGTCTTTCGCTGAGGGTGCAACCAGGGTCCGTGGTGTCCCAGCACCGGAGTGAAGGACATCTGGGAAGATCGCATCCTGGGTGCACCGGGCCTGTGCACCGAATGCAGCTCGAACATGTCCTCACCTGCACTCAAAGGTAGACACACATCCGCCATTAACACAAGTGACAGTGAGTAAAACAATGGTAATGTGTGTGTGAATAGAGTATTAGCAATGTAAGTGAGATTAGCGGCAACAACGCTGGTGATGCTAATGGGCTATATGCTAATAGCAGACTTGGGAAATCAAAGTAGAACTAGTGAAAACAAGGCACTCTGATTGTTTTTGTTGTAGAATACGATAGGGGATATATTCACACGTTATAGAAATGAAAATGATGGTGTATAAAATGTAATTGAAATATAAAATCTATTTTGAAATCTGTCATGGAACCTAACTTGCATAAACCACTATTCCACACAATAGAGAGATCAAACGACCCAGAGTTCACATGGTTTATTTTAAAGGTAGATGGTGGGAGAGTTTGAGTAGAATAATAGAATAATAAACTAGAATGGTAAAGTTGTGGTGTTTTGTTGTGATGCATTATACACATTTTCCATAAAAATGAAATGTATTTTGGTCACACTTTAGTTTGGAGAGCACTATTAACTACAACTTTTGCCTCATTAAACTCCTAATTTGCATCTTATAACAGTTTTTCACATTTGCCAAGACACTAGACCCCATTCTCTGAACCAAATTGTCAATAGCCTAAACCAATTTGTCAAATAAATCACTTTCTGCAAAACCTTACAGTTTTTCTCGATTGCTAACACACAATTCATGAAACAATTCACCATTTTCTCACAACTATAAACACAATCTCAAAACTACACACCAACTTATGCAAACTTCAAACTTCCAGGTCAAAGTCAAACATTTTAGTCAAAAACACATTCGCCTCAGATGACACACAAACCTGCCAAATACACTGACTGTCTAGAGAACACTAGTGAGATCAATTCAAAACACTGTAACAAAAACCGCCTTTCTGGAAACAGGACACATTTTGCCAGTCAATGTCTGTTACAGTATACAGCATAAATAGAGGGGTGCAGATACAATAAAATTCAGCAATAAACTTTACTGTCATTACACTACTGTAAAGTGATCTTACAGTAGATGAAAAGCACTGAAACATTCAAAAACTAAACAGCTGAATATGCAGGGAACCACATTGGAATATACGGTCAGTTACTGTACAGCAATAAATAAATAAATTCAGCATCCTCTGCCAAGTTGCATTACAATATTGTTAATATCCTTATTTGTTATACTATAGCAGTTTCTTAGTCTTCTGACAGACTTTCTCTGCCTCCCCTAGACAGTCGACTCTCAGTTCTGCACAAATACAATACATGTAAGGACCACTTGGCTACAAATCAATTCAGCAGTAATGAGTTTGAGGCTGTGCGCTACAGTATTTACAGTACAAAGAACAGTAAAAGTTATCTAATCTGAAGTACTGCTACTATGTACTGTAAATGTAATGTGTAAGTAGTGTAAAAACCCTGTAGATGAACCTGCAGGCCAGCTTTCCTCATGGTCAGTCCATGCACAAGAACATGCTCAACTATAGTGGTTTATATTTCATCAGGAACAAATAACCTTTGACCTCGTCCCCTTCATTTTTCTTTTCTCCTCCTATTCTTCTTTGTCTCCCACTACTAGGATTCATTTTCTAAAACACAATCACCTGTGCTCTTGTTTATGTCATCCTGAGATTCTGACTGGTGTGTCATCAGTGTTGCTAATTAATGTTCACACATGGATAAATGTGTGCTATTTGTGTTCATTTTGTGATTCTTGAGGTAGTTATATTGTGTGTTCTAAATGAGGTTAAACCTGTGCCAAATGATGCCATTCTTGTGTTTTGAGTTTTGCAGAAAACACTGAGCAAATTGGAACATGTGTGAAAGCAAGTGATATGTGTTAAAAGTTTTGAGAAATGTGTTTTTGTTTTGAGAACTGTATGAATAGTTTGAAAAATTGGGCCAAATAAATCAGTTATAGTGTGTTAGCAATCAAGAAAAACTATAAACAAGTTCAGGCAGTTTAGACACTGTTAGCAGATCTCATGCACTCTTCTGCAAAACTCTAAACACATTTTCACTCTCTAAGACACAATTTGCACTGTGATGAACTTGTGATGCAACACGGCTGTCATCATGCACATACAATAATTCAAAATTGTTCACACTTGTTTCTAAATGTTTACAGTTTTTTACGATTGCTTACACACTAAAATTAAACTTTTCCAACAATTACACTCGAGGAGCGAAACACAAGGATAGATTTGCACAACTGTAAGCACATTGTCAGCTTCACACTATTTGCAAAACATTACACACAGTGATTTGCAAACACTAAACACACTTGTATACATCAGACACAGAAGTATATCATGATTTCACTTCCTTACAATTCCAAAGCACTGACTGTCAAATTACCACCCCTATGAGCCAATCTGTTAAACACAGCCATCAGGTGCACAAACACATGA